TCTAATTTTATATCCACTAAAGAGCAATTCCAAAAGTATGTAGGCCTAAAAGTAGCACCTTAAGTTTAGAGGGACTATTAAAAGTCCTCGAGAGGACTCGTAACTCAGTAAGACCTATTTCACAAAGAATCCTGAAAATGGCTGCGAGACTAATGTTTTGGAGACGATATGAAGACTGTGATTGACATCAAGAGATATAGTAGGCTAAATCGTGAGGGTAATCAAACTTGTTGTGGAATATAGTGCAGGATCCCAGAATAACATACCCCGACTAACAGGAATAACACACATTAGTCCGGAATAAAATGTTTTGCATAAAAAACTTTGCAATGACCGACGATTTAGGATATCGCAACATCAGTCAGGCCGTGCCATAAACAAACATCTCTAGACCACATATCATCCAACAGTTTATCCGGTTTCCTTTGGACAATCAACAACTACACAGGATCAAAGCCAACTTCATGGCAATGCAGGTATGCCCGGTTTGGTCGGTGCTATTGACGGGACGCACATAAAAATAATTGCGCCATCAAAAGATGAGGACGTGTTCGTCAATAGAAAGAAAGTACATTCCATCAACACGCAGATTGTTTTCATTCATCATGATAGGGGGACTTGAACGGCGGTATGGGCTGTTATTGAAAGTGTTTAAGTGCTGGAAATATGCTCATTGGATAATAGTTTGCAGGGTGCTTTTAATTGCCCCCTTGATTTAATGCAATTTACGTATTTGTATTGTTTGCTCTCTCTCTCTTTAACGTGCATATACAACGTCATTATCGTGGTCTGCACAAACTTGTCATCATGCGTGTATTCTGCTAACTGCACTGTCCATAACTATTTGATAGGAATACATTTCTAGCCTAGGCTATTTCCTTGTTTTTCGGTGATTTAGTGGGCTCGTTTGTGGGATGTTGCGGATGAGTTTCACCGAGACCGCCTGCTCTGAACAACCAATCACCGTACTGACCGCTTCTAAATTCATGCACGAGAATCAACGTAATCCATAGCAACGGCGCGTCACTCTTAGTGATTTATCCTTAGTATGAGTAGGTCTCAGCGGCTTTGTGAATAACTTTTAAGAAAAAACTCCTACGTAAAATGTTTTAGCGCGAGTTAGGAGCACTCCTAGCGGTAAGATAAAATGCTTTGTGAATACGGCCCCAGATCCCACAAGTATCCCATCTCTCTGTCTGCAGACTCTGTAATGCTGATACGCTGATAACCTGTTTATTTGCTCACTCGAAGCAAGTGTCCATGTTGTAACAGGCTCCCTGCATACCTCAGCCCTCACACTGTGCAATTTAAACCTTTGCTGTCATCATGATCATCTTATAGAGATATAAAAAGGTGCCAACTCACCTGGCATTCTTACAGCCAAGCGGGGAGACCGGGGTCTGGCTGTAGGGAATAATTGTAGGTCAAATGAATGCAAAAGCTCAGGGAAGCCAGGAGATAATAACTGGAGAGAGAATAACTTCCTCTGGCCCCCATGGGCTCCCTGATTCACAGCCCTCAGGCAGCTGTTCAAGTGGAGGCAGCCAAGTGCTCTTGAAGTACTTGATATGTCTGAATCTGTGGCTTGGCCGACAAAGGCTGAGCCACAGCCACACCTGGACAGGTGAGTGATGTGAGCGGGGGAGCACAGCCATTTACTCATCCTAAAAAACTTGATATCCAGGCTTGGTCGGACCTGTGAAGATTTAAAGAAAGATCCTGTTGATGATCTGATAGTGATCAAGCTGCAATTATAGATTATTATTCTGATCACGCTTTCATTTTTTAATTGAATAATACATTATTTAATCTATAAAATGTATTAAATCATTTTAAAAGCCAGTCACAATGGATAACCATGTGAGACAGACACAGACTGATGACCTCCCCCCACCATTCTCCACATCCTCAGGGCTTTTAGCCGTTAGCTCCATCACAGGCCTGTTGGGATCCACTAACTGGTTCTTCCAAACGTTTACTAAAAGGGGAGGAGCTGCCATTTCAAAACAGCCCCACACTCTAATGGATTCCTCCAGTTAAATGTCAACTAAAGGATCGGATCACAAGAAAACTAAATTTTTGTGGGCAGATCTCTTTTATTTCTCCAAGTTTTGAGATACCTCTCTCTTTTTTTATGTATGCTCTCACCTTAAAAATATGAAAGTGAGCAGAATTTAATTTGTGCGACAACTCTGGAAATGTTGCTAATTCCTCCCTTTTGTTATTTACAAAGTGATTATTTAATAACACAAAAAGCACCTTCTGAGAGATGAATGGGCAAGAAACAATATTTAGACATCTATAATCAACTGAAGGCTGACCTCATCTATCCGTCTTGAGTATTAATTCATTTAGTAATCTCTGAGTCCTACAACAGAGACAGCATGACTGATGACACCACGTTTAGAATCTAAATCGGCTTCAGCCTCCAACCCCCTCCTCTGTTTTTCCTTTCGGCTTCTCCGGCCCTTCGAGACAAGACCCCCACCTCCTCTGCTCGGGGAATGTTTCCCGATCCCCCCCCTCCCCTCCCCTCCCCTCCCCTCGCTCCTCCACCTTTCGCAGACAGACCCAACCTCCAGCCAGGAGGTAAAAGCATGTGGAGCGCAGGAGAGAGGCTGCATACCGACACTGAGCTCCCACAGAGCAATACACACTCACACTCACGCCGCATATTGACACTTAATCTATACATGGGGAGTTTGCAGATCACTTCTTCTGATATCACCATGATCCAACACGCTCTCACCTGCTGATATTATTCACAGAGCAGCACAGGTTCAGACCTGATAACACGTAGTAGCCAGACGGTTGACAACGGACACCTTTGCTTCGGAGATTTTTATCCGCGAGGATCAACCCTCACCTGGACTTGTTTATTTTCCTTTGGACCAACTGTGTTACCATGTTCAGGGCAGAAAGGTACGTCACAGTGTTTTACACGATCAAATCAGATGCTAAAGAGGAGATAGTTTGTTTTTTTTCCATCCCGGGCGTTTTGTGAATTTCCTCTTGTCAGTACCACTGTCAAATATCTTTGCAGCTTAATTCAGCCCAAGATAACGTTTGCTTCTGTTAGCAACATGGCTGTAAAAACTCTCCCTGGCTGCTCAGTTTCAGCTCATAAAGTGACTTGTTTGGACACGTTTCTCCTGCTGCAGGAGGTTACAGGTTAACAGTCATCTGAAACGGGAGGACAGGGTGCCTCGGTCACTCATTAGTGTGACGGATTAATATGTGTGAGCGACTGCCCGGCCATCTTCAAGGTGACTTTGCTTTTGGGTGATGGATGCTTCCCTTAAAGGACAGCTAACCCCCCCCAGAGTGGATCCTCAAAGCCTACCATTCTTCATCTGACTTCATTGTCTGTTGTCTCTCTTATTGTGATGATCTACTCAAAACAACTTATAAGCAAAGGAAGTGACTTCTTCAATCCTTTATCGGTCTGATTGATTGGTTGATTCCTTAAAACATACGTATTGGTTTGTCATTTGATTAACTTTTATGGGATTTATGATTACAACTCTGTAACATAATGCATCTTAATATTTGTCTCCTCTTACCACCATATATCCAAAATCATAAATAAAAAAAAACAGCATAATTATTTAACACAAAATTATAAATGATGGAAACAATTTTTGCAATTACTGACTACCAGGGAGGTTATTAGTGAATGTAAATAAAGTGGAAGTCAGAAATGTCTTATTGTTTGTTCTAGCTCTTTGGTGCATGCAAACAAAATGCCCAATCTCCTCCCTGTTTGGAATGGGTAATGGTTAGCAGACGGTCACCAGATGACCTGAGAGAGTAGCCACAGCTTTTCCACAGCATTCATGATTGGGTAAGAAAGTAGAACATTTGCTGCCAAAACAAAATTCACATGCTGTTCGGTACAACAAATCAGAACCATTCTGCTATATATCTGTTTTATATCAGCTGAGTTCTCCTCCCTCATCTCTAGAAAATGTTTAGCCTCCTTTAGCTCATTGTTTTGGCTCTCCAGGGAGAAGACTCAGGTGTCATCCACCTCCTGTATCTGTGTTGAAAAATCTACTGACAGATCAAATGAAAAACTATCTGGTGAAGAAATTAAACAACCAGCCGCCTTTTTAGCTTGTTTTGTGCCCTCAGGTGGACAAATAAACAACCCAGAATGATTGCAACATTAAAAATAATTCATTTATAATCATAGATGCAGATGTAGGAATCGTAAAGTCTACTGTTTGTCCAGCATCTGAACACTCTCTGCTGATCTCCGTTGCGTTTCTGACTCGCAGCTCAGATGCTGATGCTGTTTGAAAGGCTTCACAAAGGTGATCTGTCTTTAGGATACACTGTACTCTGTGTATACTGTATATACATGTAGATGTGTATTTGTGTGTGTGCTTGGTTGCCTCTTGCTTAGATTCTCACAGAGATAACACAGAAAGTGTTTCAGTGGTTTCAAACTCTTGCTGCTGCTTATTTTTTCTACGACGAGTCACCACAGTCCCACACAGAAAGCATTCACCATTTCAACAGCCTCAACTTTAAAATCAGCAAACATTTCATTGAATTGCACCTGGGTCAAATGAGTCAATATTTAGTTCCATTGGGAATCTCCTCCACGGGTAAATATTTGGGGGATTAGTTGGTGTTGTTTTAGTTTGAATGGGAATGTTTGTTTAAGTGTTCGGGGCCTCAGCGTCAGACTGTAACTGCTGCTAACGGTCAGCCTCCAACAACCAATAAATCAAGACCATTCAAATGAAATGTTCCGATATGAAATGAAGTGAATGGCCTACTAACTGTGGGCTGCACTTACATGTAAAGTGTATTTTTTTTAGCTTCTTTGAATGTTCAGCTACACAGTCAATCATAATACAGATGATTATTACAGAGTTGGTGATGGAGTCTTTGATGAATGCAATATCCTCTTTGTGGGAAAAAAGATCATCCTCTGTCTACTGGGCTGCCCCTTCTTTTACGGACCTCTGTTGTTTACCACCGGCCACATGAGAGAAATGTGTTAGTCTTCAGTGTGTGTGTGGGAACTAACTGCCAACCGTTTGGCCTTGATTGATGACAGCAAGGCGACTGCGTCTCCTCCTGATCTTTATGCAACAAAAGCAGGTCTGAGAAAATAAGATTGTTAACCCAATGCTTTGACAAAAAATGGTTCTGCGTAACGTCTAATCATCCTCTCTGAGCCCTTTCATTCTGAGACTTAGAACTGCGATGTGTTGATGATATCTAACGTGCTTTCTTTTGTTCTGCAGCTACATGACTGACGGAGGTTTGGGTATGTACACGCGGCGCCTGAACCGTCTGCCCGACAGCATGGCCGCCGTCAGAGAGACACTGCATCGAAACACGTCGTCAGGACAGGGAGATGCCGACAGGTGAGTCTCAAACACCCAGTGATTATTTGACTCTTTGATCCCTATGTTCAGTTCATTTCAGGAGTTATTTTCCTATCTAGTGTAAGTACTATACTGTGCCTTGGCTTGCTTTGCCTTCCTCTACTTATTCCAATTGATTCACATTTGCTATTGCATTTTGCAATGCGGAACACAAATATACACAAATTGGCGTTTCTGACATTTGTAATGCATCAGGTAAACAGGTGAGCTTGGGAATCTTCATTATTATCTTCTGATTACCTACATTTCCTTTCATGCCATCATATATGTGACCCGCTCTATCGAAATCAGTTGGAAGTCGCAACGGCTCATTTCAAAATAAACGTGGATTTGCGTAAAAAACGTCTTGGCTTTCAGAATATGAAACAGAAGATGACAGGCAATCTGCTCTTCCGCAGCGCCGCCCCCCCTCCCTCCGGCTGACATTATGAATGTAAGCGTAGAGTAATCATAAATAACACGGCAGGGTCCGTTACAGTTTGTTTTCATCTGATTTCAATTAAACAAAGTCTTGGCTTTCAGAATATTAAACTTGTTTTACGGCAAATTCAGATGATAAATACAACTTTGAAGCTTGTAACGGCATAATTACAAGCGGAGAACGGAGTAACTTAACGTCACAGCAGGCATAACAACAGCCGGTATTTCTCGTGAGGGTTTTCCCCGGGAAACAAACACAATACACACAAACGCAAAATTACACAAACACACACACACGCACACACACTCGCGAGCTTCCCCCAGACCAGTAATCCAAACGAAAATATCTTCCCTCCGTAGTATTTTGATCATTTGCTCCGCTAATAATCAATCAGATCGATGAATTCCAGAGAAGAGGAAACTTTGAAGGCCTTTTTCTCAAAATGATGACTTGGTGACAGTCATTATATACTGTGACATATTTCGCTTAATATTTGGAGTACAAAAACAATCCTGATATCATTAGAAAGCTAGGAATATCCTCTTTCCAGCAGTGTATCCAACTCAAAATGTGTCTTCGGGTCAATGCGACTGATTTCGATAGAGCAGGTCACATATTATATTAAACATGCTGATCTCCAAGTGTTTGTTGAGTTAAAACCAGTGTGAGAGTTTGGGCAAACAGATTAAATGAACCAATGAATCTGAAGGCATTTCTGTTGGTTGTATTGCATTCTCTTGGTTGAAATAGCTTTGAACAGTGAAATGTACTCTCTGGGGGCTTTACAATGGTGTGGATGCATGGCATTAAAAAAGCTTACAGATTTGAAGATAATATGGATCTAAAACAAAGAAATGTCAGCATCTTGTGTTCATTGCTTCAGTTTGGGATTGTCTAAAAACCAATGGGAAAAAATAGAAACCGGTTAAACACCATATATTGCCTAATGTGATTTTTTTGTAATCTTTCTTGTTATAGGGGTTTTGCTCAGTACCTATACACATGACGTGTTATGACTGAGCTTTGTTTAGTACAATTAACTCCTGACAGCCTTAATGTTGAAGAGCAGGGAGACACATGTGTTCGTGCTGGTGATATCAGGATCAATTGGCCACAGCATGTAGTAAAGTGAGTAGATTGAGTACATGCGTGTCCATTGGACTTTCCACAGCGTCCCATGTCAGCGTGAGGGAGTCGGTGCAATGCCGCCGTCTTTGTCCTGTCGCAGAGATCGAGAGGGATTTAGTTCCTGGCTAATTGACAGATGGAAATGGATGAAGGCCAAGCGCAGCCCCGCCATGTTGCAAGAGAGGGATTGGGGGAGGAAAGAAAGAAAGAGAGTAGGGGGAGGGAATACTCTGGATATGAAGATGGACTGTAGAATGGATGGATGTTGGATTGAAGAACACATTACAACAAAGGAATCATTCATTTCCACCTATCATCAGTATCTTCCATTTTTTTTAAATAAATAAACCAGCTGTGTGTTTTAGGACTATCAATGTTTGACATTTAAAAGAAAAGCTTAATAGTCTTATCTGCTAGTCCAGACAGACATGCTGGTGTGTTCTCTTAAGTGCTTCAAGCGGCCTTTTCCTTAAATCCTCAGGTGTGGCTAATTTCCTGTCCCCCAGACTTTTGACCTTTGCCCTCTCACTGCCTTTTACCCCGCATGCACACACACTCATTCCTTCACAATAAACTCTCCGAGCCCTTAGGTGGGGCTTAACACACACTGCCCCCCTCCTCACCTTTCCTCTCTCACCTCCTTTCTACCTTTCCTAACCACGCAGGGTTCATTTTCCTTTTGCTTTTTTATGATTACAGACTGTAGCAAGTGAAAGACACTCACAAATGATAGAAGTAAGGGGATTTCTCTATTTTTCCGTTTGATTTTGTGCTTTCAACTCTCTCTGTAAGGTTTAATTGACCATGTAGGCAGATGTTATGCTTCTTCAGAAACTTTCCATTTTCTCTTCCATGATCTTCAATCAGCTTCCGTTCATTATTTCTTTCATAAGATTAGAGAGAAGTGCAAGGAAGGAGTTTTAAAATTAAGAAGGGATAATGTGACTCCCCTGCTCCCTAACACACCTCCTCCCCCCTGAAGGAATGTCTGATAAATGTGCTTACTGCTTTAGTTTGGGATTAATTAGGAGCAGAGGAAGCGGCAGATACAAATTCATTAGCATAACAAGCTAGAGGGTAAAGAAGGGTGACTGGTTTCTGTTGTAAAATATGAGGCTAATTTACTCCATGAGAGGTGGGTTAATGGTGCACTTTAGGCAGGTGGAGGAGGGGTAGCACCTTTTCCCTGCATGTGTTTCCAACATTTAGTGCTTTGTAAACGTCACAGGAGAAGATCTGAGCCTAGAGGTGTGTGCAGCCTGTATTTGCTCACTGGGTGTGTGAGCCATCTATAAACCTGTTGTGGTTTAAATACCTTTTTTACGTCCTCTGGTTTGTGATACAGAGCCGGTGGTGAAGTGGGGGTCGGGGAAAGGTGTTTGGTGTCACCATGGCATTAGGGGAAAAACCTTGTGACCCCTGTATGAAGAGGTCATGAGCTTCAAAGGGTAGAGGTTCACAGTTAGGAGCGTTCCTTAAACCGTTAGGCTTTCACGCTAAAAGCCTTCAGATCTGACCAGAGCTGCACTAATGAGGAGCGTGGCGGCTGGAAAAAGGAAAACAAAGCATTGAACAGCAGATAACAAGAAACTAATTCATGTACATATCATCTCATCAGCTGAGTTGGGGACAGCTTTAACTGATCTTTGCTGCTGATTTGCAGCTCCTGTAGGAAGTGAAAAAACTAGTTTTACCAACTGTCAAATGTATGCAAAACAGTGGGTGGAAGCCAGCGGAGAATCACACTGGACAATAGGGCCTGCGAGGCAAAGTAGATAGAGACAATAGAAAGTGGGAACTGCATGTATGTCAGAATGTGTGTGTGTGTGTGTGTGTGTGTGTGTGTGTGTGTGTGTGTGTGTGTGTGTGCATGAGCATGCTTATCCCTATCATTTATCTTCGCGGCAGGAGAAAGAGGAAGCAATCTATAACCGCCTGTCTTCAGATTTGAATTCTCTTTGTTAAAGCAGACAAAGGAGATGTCTCTGGGGTGTGAAACCGCTGTAGCGGTGAGTGTTGGAGACCCCCCTTTTTCCTCTCTTTCTGTGGCGTTGAAGATATAATTTCTCTTCCCCAAATGAGAATGTGACAAAAGAAAAAAGGAGAGCAACACATAAATCAGTGAGTTTTAGGCTGATGCTTACAAAAAAAGAAGATGGTATGGTGATAAAGGGTTCCTATTAATTTTACACGTGTGCAAATGATTTATCTACATCCTATAAGTTATTCTTGATCCTTCCTTCAGGACGTTATAAGAAAAGGTTGGGAGAACGGATACTTGAACATGGGGGTAAACATGAACATATATGTGATGCATGGCAAAATACAAGAACTAAATTGGTGCTCTAAGTCATCAAATGTCAAGGGGGCATTAATGTGCTCCTTGTCCAATTCCTCAATTTGGGAGGTGTTCTTCCTAATTTGTTGTTGAGAAGATATGTTGTATTTTATTTCTCAGAGTATTTAAAAAACAAGTTGAAAGCTGTCTCTGACTTGTAATCCCGTTTTGAGAGTGTTTTCTCTTAGATTTTCCTGTCAGGAACAAATTATTACACCAAATGAATACAACAAAAATGCCATATCTTGCACTGTTAACAAAAGTGAAACATAATTAGTACATCTGCCCTGTGATAGGCTTAAAAAATGCAATGGTCTCCGTGGCGGTGATAATGAACACACCAGCTTAAGGTGACCAAATCAGTGCTTGATAAAAAGTACTTCAATTTACAAGTACAATAACTGTTGAAAAGAAGGGTCATGTCAGGTAAAGGCCAATTCCCATCGTTAACAAGTGTTCTGGCAAAAAGCACCTGGACATGATAGGTCTTTAATCCACATGAGGAGTTATCGCTTCTACATATCAAAGAGCAAAAAAAAGCAGAAGTAATGAATTTCATGAACCCAGAGTATGCCAAAGACAGACACACGGCATGGAGCAGCAGTGAAATACTAAACTGCTGTTCTACAGGCATCATGTGATGCTACTTACAGTATAAACATCAGGACACTGTTGTTCTGCTGACAGGTACACCTTCATCAGCAGGTTCCTGTTAAACATTCAGACCGCTGCCAATCATTCTAATACCCTTCAATCACCTTCTCATTATCTTTTAATTGTAGATTTCACTTTAAGTGGCCTTGGTGTTTTTCAAAGGCACTGTACAAATACACCTGAGTAAACTTGCCTTGCCTTGCCTTTGTGGTTTTAGGCCATTAAAGAGTAGTCATTTAAGTCTATTTGCACAGCATATAAAACCCCAGTCTAATTATTTCAATGATGCTCTGGCAGAAGAACTGAATCTGTGTCAACTTTTACTGCAATGTGACGTCATTCAACAACAATGCAAACCCAAATACTGATAAATAACTTTGTAATGTGAATTGTGTAATTCTACAGTGATAACTTTGCAGAATTTGTTCAATACCACTT